GGGGCAATGAAATACCATGGCATTTCTACAGAGATGAAAAAAGCTGCTTTTGGCTGGAGAATTTCTGGAAAGTCATTCTTGCTCAGCAGGCAGAAGACATTGTTTGCCTTCATTCAAATCAACTTCCCCAAGTGTTTCTGTTCTTCATTCTCTACCAAGTTTTTGCTTTACATGTTCTCCATCAACTCCAATTCCAGTGACCTGATTCATGTTGCATTTTTTTCATACTTCAATGATCTATTTTTTAGACTTAGAACCACAAAACCCAAAATGTCTGAGCACGCAGAGTGACCATCATTCTCAGGTAATGAAAAGAAATATGTAATAAAATGAGGGGCTGCAGCATCAGTAAGGCTGTCCACACACCCAAATCCCTCAAAAGCCTGACTAACATTTTTTTGAAGGCAGAGTTTATAAGATTACCCTAAAAAGGTCTGGTTTGAAGAGAGATCTGAAAACATTAAACAACAACAACAAACCAAACTGCCCCTTCCCTCTCGACCCTAAGAACTTCTGGTTTATGAAAAAACTTTTAAATGAACAAAAACTATTTTGGATTAATACTCTTTTGGGAACTATCAAGGCCTTCACTGACTGCTTGACCTTTCCATTCTACCAAATAGTATCTAAGAAATAAATGTAAGCTCCAAGAATGCAAGGAGTCTTACCCAGTTTGCTTACTTGCTGTATCCCAGGTGCCTAGAATGGTGCCTGGCCCGTATTCAGCACCTCATGGATGTCTGCTGAATGAATGCATGCTGTCAAAATACCTTCATATAAGAGTGTCTGAAATCTAGTTGTTCTTGCAGTTCTCCCTGCACCTCCTTGCTCCCACAGGGTACTGAGAGCCAGGGGGAGCCTGCTAGATCTCCCTGCTGGGCCTCCAGGTAGCTCCTTTTCCAGTCATGTAGAATCCACCCCTCCTTTGAGGATTATAAGGGTCATCTACAATAGTGTCTACCCTTTCTCACTGTTTTTCTCATTATCATTCTCCTGCTCATTCTCCAATATTCATGAAGAAATCCAGCTCCTGCTCAGTGCTCTTGTCCACTCCTTTCTTCTATCATCACCTTGAGGAATGGCCCAACCACTTACCTCAGCCTCCCTGGCTTCGATAATCACTTTCTCCAGTCCTGGATTCTACTACAACTGTTCCCTTGATAACGGCAGCATGGCATAATACTTATAATTGCTAATATTTGAGGGCTTTTATTATGTGGGGGACACTGCTCAGTGCCATATAGGCCTTATTATCTCATTTAAACTTTCCAACAGTCCATGAAGACTTTAAGGTGCAGTTTTAAATAATTGTTAAACATCACTTGGCTCAGGAGTGGTAGGTCTGTAATGTGAACCCTGGGCAGTCAGACTGTTTAACCTGTGCTCTTAACCAATGGGGTGAAAATAATCAAGACTTAAAACACTAGCTCTGCCACTCCGACACACGAGCTTTTTGACCTTGAGCAAAATTAAAACCTTCCTCAGCCTCAGTTTTCTAATTTATAAAATACTGTCCAAAATAAAGAAGATGATATATGTTCAGTGCCTAGCACAGTGACATACCACAAATGTGTGTTCCATCCATCCCACCAGCAAGCACTAATTGGGCACCTCCTAAGCATCCACCTGTGGGAGGTACTGAAGACACAGCAGTGGACAAGACACTCCAGGCCCCTGCCTTCATGGGTCTGCGCCGCATCTGGCAGGTGCTCTGTAAACATTCGATAGATGAAACGAGCCTTCAAGGAGGTCTGCCAGCCTCCACTCTACCTCTCATCAATCAGCCAGTTTTCTGCTGTAAAGCAGTCTAATGAGGGCCTTTCCCTGCTTAAAATCCTTCATCAAAAAAGACAAAAATCCACATTTCTTAATATAATATGCTAGAATGGCTGTAGGTCCCAGTTCCTCTCCCCACCCCACACCACTCCACCCTCTTTTTCTTTTAGCAGTGAAAACCTTTCTTCCTACGTAATCTATTTGGAAGCCTGAACTGAAAACCAGACCAATACAGACCTACTCTGGCACAAGCATGAGAACTGGAGTCACCAGTTTGGCATCCTCACTCCTTTCCACCTCCATCAGGTGTGTGCGTGCGCACACACAGCTGCAGTTATGTAAGGAATTGACATCGGTTCTGTCAAACAGATTGAAAACCAAGCTTCCGATCAATGTTCTTCTAACTGCAGGACGCAATCTGTTAGAGGATTATGAAATTAATTTAGTGGCTGGAATCAGTGATTTGGAAAACAAAAATAAGAGTGCATTACATAAACTAATGGCTAAGTACTGGTATACAAAACCTGTTATATACGTAGACATTCAGGTACTAACTTGTGATATAAACTGTATCTCTTAGTGTGGATCATGGTCAAAATGATTTGAGAGTCACTGCATTACATTCTCTGTGTAGCCTCATCTCCTTCCACATTTCAAGTCACATAAAACTCCATCTATATCAAGCCATTTGCAGTCCCCCAAACCCATCTTGCTCTTTCACTTCTATGCCTGTGAGTGTACACGCCAGGCCTCATGATAGGCACTTACGAGAAAAACCAAGGTCTTGCCCACATGGCATTTAAGAATCTAGACAGATAAATATACTAGTCACCCTGATTAATATATAACTGTGAACCAAAATAAGCAGTCTAAGTGAAACAGATATGGATATTTATCTAAGGCAGTTAGTCTAGGGGGACAAAGGAGGTATCCCTGAAAGAGTCAATCAGCAGAATCTAAAGAGTATTGCAGAGCTGACTAGGTAAAAGGGTGGAGAAAGAACATTCCAGACATGACAGAATATAAGCAACCCTGGGATGAGAGAGGACATGGCATATTTGAGAAACTGAAAACGAGCCAGCATGACGGAGACCACAGAACAAATGGGAGAGAGATCCAAGATAACTGGCAAACTTCGCAGTGGCTAGACCAGGTAGGGTCTTGTGGGATAGGATTTTATTTTCTGTCCTCAGAGTAAGGAGAAACCATTGAGTTAAACAGGAGATGATGAAAGAGGAGTTGTGAAAACAGTGTCTGCAGTGTGGATGAGCTGGAGGGAGGAAGGAGTGGCTACCTGGAGACCAGTTAGGAGGCTGCTGAAATAGTCCAGGTGAGTGGTGACAGTGAACTAATTTAATATACTGTAAATCAGGGGGAAGGGGAGAGAGGGTGGTGGTACTGAATAGAGGCCGCCTCCTAGGTTCTGCCTTGTACAACTGGCTACATGGTGCTGCCCACAAAGTAAGCTGGAAAGACCAGGTTTGGAGAAGACTATGGATTCGATCTTGGATAAGTTGCATTTACAGTGACTTTAAGTTAGGTGTGTATCTTATCTAAAAGAACCTGGGAGTCCTGTGTATAAATGGTAAATAAAACTGAGCAGGAGAATGAGGAAAATGCCCAGGGTTGAGCCCCAAAGGCCCATTTCCTGGTGTTGTATTCCTACCTGCTATAAATACAATTTATACCCGGCTAACTATACAATTATACCTACTTTAAAGTTCAAATATAGAAATTAAAAACAAGTAGAAGTCTGTTCACTCTTTGGGTTAATTAATATTAACAGCTCAATATATGCCCATTATTTTTTTAAAAATGGGATTATGTTTTGCACACTTTCCTTAATGTTTCTTTTTTAAATAAAAGCAATGTAGTGAAAATATCCTTTTATATCAGCGTATATATAGTTCTAACCTGAAGGGTGACACAGTATTGTTAGGACTGTATCATAATTTAACGAACCCCCTTGCTGAGTTACTTGCTCATTCTACTGTCCCCCTTCTGCTTTGCTCACTGAACCCTGATTCTGTTCTTACAGCAACATGGTCCTCAGGTGATGGTTCGTGATTGGCTTAAGTCAATTAAGACCATCTTGTTGCCTACCTTTTCTTTCTTATTTTTCTTAGGTTTTAACATACTTTAAAAAAAAAAACTGTATTGATTTTAGAAAGAGATGGAGAAATACGGATTTGTTGTTCCACTTATTTATGCATTTATTAGTTGATTCTTGTATGTACCCTGACTAGGGATCAAACCCACAACCTTTGTGTACTGGGATGATGCTCTAACTAACTGAGCTACCCCGCCCTGGCCTATTGCCCACCTTTCCAACTTCCCTTGCAGCTTTGGGTAGTCATATCATCAGGTGCTGGCTAATGAACTTAGGGGAAGTCTGCTACAACAGCTTCTGAGTAAGCTTTTGCTTTCCTAATAAAAGAGAACTAATACGAGTACTACTCTCTCTATCCTTTCTTCCTATTTTGGACATAAATGTGATGACTGGAGTTCCATAAGTCACTTTGCAACTACAAAGCCATAAGTCAACACTAAGAATAGTGAAGCAGAAAGGCAGAGTGGAAGCCTGGGCTGATAAAAATACACACACACACACACACAAATACTGACTCATTTTAAAGAACCCAAATGTATTTCCGACTTTCAAGTCTAAAAAAGTAAAAAAAAACTTTTTGAATCGGAGATTCAAAGACGTAAGTGATGCCCTATAAAAATAAGAAGCACATTTAGAACAAGATGTTAGAGAAAATACTTCCAACTGTTCCTGAGAATGTCTTTACGTCTTGGGTCCAGAAATGCCTTTCTGGCTCCCTGTCCAGCACATGCCTGTGTCCTGCAACTTGACAGGTTGGCCTTTGTGCTAAATCTCTGCTACCCCTTGCTTTACTTTGTCTGAGATTTCTATCTTCTCTTGCCCTCAATTTGAAAATGTACCAAATTAAGAAATAATCTTTTACATGAACAGTTGAAAGGTTTTCGATCTGGGTGCATCATTACTTCTTAAGTGTATAACTAGAAAAAAAATGAAACATCAGAAGTGAAAACTGTTTAAAAGCAGAAGAAAAAAATTCCTCTCTTCTTGAGCTTCCTAGCTATTTAATTCTAGAAAATATTCTGTTATTTTACTCTAATGTTGATGGCTTCTTCTGTTCTCAATTTTACCAGCTTCTCACGTTTTGGCAAAAATATAAGATGTTAGATTTCTCAGATTCCACAACTTGTAGCTCCACTTAAACACTTAAAGGCTATTAAATTAATAAATTTATATTATGTGAATAAACTGTAGTTTAAAATATTAGACACAAAATGATTTTATGCGTAATCCAAATTATACACAATTCACATCTATGCTTCTAAACAGACAGAAGCTCACATTTGTACTACTTTTACAGTTTACAAAGTGCTTTTATATACATTTTCTCATTTTCTATTCAAGACAGACATGTGAGATAAATATTATTTCACAGTTGGAAATAGACCCAGACATTACGAGTGCTTTAACCACTATACAGTGTAGCCCTGAGACTTTGATCTGCAAAGGGTTTTAATAATGCAAATATCACATATATTTCAATTTTTATCATCATTTTCAAGTTTCCATTTTCTTAACAAAAGAAAACAATGAAAAATGTTTTCTGTAATCCAATAATAAAAATGGGAAATATGCACACAATATATTAACACAATGAGTAGGATCTACCAGAAGAAAAGCCTTCTTTGGTAGTTCTATATTGTTACCTATATACAGGGCACCAGTACCAAAACCACATTTAAGTGAGTAAATTTTTTTCTATTTTAGAGAAAATAATGCAGGCAACTCCTGTTGCCTCCAAGTCTAATGTACATATACATATGTATTAGGGCATGTAGGTGGCCAGGAAAGATACAGAAAATTACCTTATCCAGATCTGGAGTTCTAGGGCCTCTGATTATCCCAGCTTAGGCATAAAGGAATTAGACAATTTAGTAACATGTCTCATCTTTAGTAATATATTTCTTTTTCTTTCCCCACTCCCTTTTCTTTCTAAGCACCCTATACCATTTATACTAGAAATCCCAACCCTACTGTACTTTTTTTCCTCAGAACTTCCCCTTCCTATTCCAAATCTTGAAAACATTTCTTCACAGTAGATGAGGGAGCCATAGCTTATGTTGCCAGGAAACAGTCAGTCCCAGCATTCGTTTCCCAGCAAGGAGCTGAGAGAAACTCTGAACAGAACGAAGAGTGGTAACTGGCAGAGCAGAGACACCTGCTCTGAGAACCTGCACTCAGAAAGCTGCACTGCGGTTCTCCGAAATTTGAAGATACTCTTTTGTTGCTGCTCTGACAATTTAAGAAGGAAAATTTTGGCTGGTAGTAAGTTTAAATTGTTGGTTCAATGAATCGCTCTTTTAGATGTTATAATGTTTTTATTGCATTTGAGAACATTTTCAATAAACACTTGAGTTTGAGGCTTTGGCTAGGTAATCTGTTTGTAGTTTAGAAATCAGATTTCTGTGGCAAAATTCTTATCGCCAGCAATGGGATTTATCAAAACTACAAATGCCAGCACACTGAATATTTCAATACTGTACTCAATTGTTCTTATCTAAATATTTCAGCTATGAAACAAACCCATGTAAATGCTTACTATATAGTACAAATCAACAGATTCTTCACAGAAGAAAACATGAAAGACTAATTTCCTATGTGTCACCTGTTCATTAGTTCTTCAGTAACATTACTTACGTTATTTCAAGGATAATAAAATGTATGCACCACTGCTCATGTTTTCTTAACATTTTTTATCTAAGTTCTAAAGGGCATAAACAAGAATGTATATAATCAGAATTGTTTTTATAAACTTTTGATTTTTTGTTGCACATCTTACAATAATGAACATATGGAGACAAGGACAAAAATACATTTAAATCATTAGAGGGTACATGAATTTTGCCTATATGGCTAGTTACTTATATATGTCTTATAAATGACCGGATAAAAATAACAAAGTTTGATAAGCTTATCCATGCCCTGTGAACTTTAATCCACTCATCAAATAACTTGATTAAGTGATTATTTGTTTTGTTTTTTTTTTGAAAACTACAAACCACACTTTATTATACATTTCTGAATCATGAGGGGGTAAGCTGTGATACAGTACCCTCATGCCACCGGTTCTTTTGGAGGGAAAAGTTCTGCAATGAAATAAGAGTTTCCAGACTCTTTGTTAAAAAAACCTTGAACTGTGTTCTATGACTGACCTTCACTCTACAGTCCCTTTGACCCAAGGCACTGTCCCTGGTGCATCTTGTTGAGGTTTAGTTTCTGGGAAGTTTTCGGCAAACCTCTCTCGTGCTTTCTCCCAGTTCTTTTTGCTCTTGTTTTGGAGAAGGTGAACATCTTCAATTGAGGATGGTTTGCCTGTCCCCAAGCCTGCATGTGTCCGCCGAAGCTGAAGCTGGATCTGTTAGCAAAAGTTGAGTAGAGGACTTATTTATTGTACAAATCAAAGAACACTGAAATCTGCTGTGTCCAACTTAGCATTTTAACTACAATTGTTTGATTTAGAAAATACCAATGCAAAAGAAAAACCTGTCAAATTCATCAGATACAGACAGGAATACCTATGATTAGACATGGAACTTAAACTCATTTTTCTGTATTGTTTTACCTGTCAATAAGACAGTAACTCTGCTCCTACAACAGCACTGAATTTCACTGAAATGCTGCAGAATCTGTCATCCCACTCTGAACAACAGTAAAGGCAATAGATGTATTTAAACGTACTGTCCTAGCCTCACGTATGTAAGTGAACAGTTAGGTTAAACATTGAATCATAAAAAGAACATGACTGCTTATTTTCATAAGAAGGGAATACTTCTCATTATTTTGAGAAGCATTAAAAGCTACCAGTTACTGAGTGTCTAGTGTATGTCAGGCGTCATGCTGAGGTCTGTATCTTCATGATATCACTGAAAAAGTGTTTATCATCCCCATTTTTACTTATGAAAACTGAAGTTCAAACTTGCCCTAAGTCCCATCGATAGCAAGTGAGAGCACATATTCTAACCTAGGTCTGAAAATAAAACCCAAGTTCTTCCCATTGTATCTCAATGAAATAAGAAAGCTTACATTAAACTCACAGTGATCCATTCATTATTTCTTTAGGTACCAAGTAATTATTAAGGAAGTTCTTTAGTCATGTTATTTTGTAAGGTTTTTGTGAAAGATAATCTGAACTTTGATGAACCTTGGGCCTACAGAATTAAATCACTGTACTATTTTTCAAACATTATTCTCTCTATTACTTGTTGTTACATTCTCTGATTCCTGAACCCAAAACCTGCTAATACAGCTAATGTATTCCCCATGTAATGGTTCTCCAGCTAATACAGAACCTGCCTATTTGTAAAACAACACTGTAACTGCTCCTGCAATGTTTAGTACCAGAAATCATTAAAATCACCTAAAAGACACAGAAAAACCTTTGGCTCAGGAAATAGCATTTACTATCCTAGCGCCACTGAAGAAAACCTCAATTCTAAGAGGCTCCCTAAAAACATTAAAAACAAAACAATGTACATAATATATACTTGGTAATCATGAATACCACAAAGGCAGTGATCACATCTGTTTTTGTTTGCTACCACACCAGTGGCTCTTAAGACAATGCCTGGCACATATTAGGTACACAGTAAATATATCTACTGTAAAAGTAAAGAGTGAAAGAAAACGCAAGTCTTACCGGAGTTTTCATTCCTCCACCGTCCTTCCCTAGGCCCTCTCCTTTTTTCCAACCCATCTTCTCCAACATCTTCCGACCCTTGTTGCTATCAGTAATTTCACTTTTTAAAAAATTAAAAAAAAATTAAGATGATAGTTGATCTCTAAAAGACTATTTAGGTCACATTTATAATAAATGAATAAGTTAAAAATAATTGGTAAAACTACTCTAGAAAACCACTTTGGAAAAGTTAATACTTACGAATGAACAGATGCAGGAGCATCATCCCTTTGGAAAGTTCCTTCACTTCCAATCTGCTTCCTACGCTTTCCTGCTCTATCTTTATATTTTGGATTCTTCAATGCCTTTTCATCTTCATAGTCTGTATTCTTTATAAACACAAAATAATCATTGAAAAAAACAAAGCTGATAAATAAAAATGTCATTGTCTGTATAATTTGCCTTACTTTGCAAATATGATTCAATGTGGTCTCTATTAAATGATGAATTAAAACAAGCCATGATATAAATAAAGACAATTGTGTCATTGAATACACTATTTTTAGCCTATCCCCTTTAAAATGTTTATATTATTTGAAATTGTCCTATAACACAAATTGTATACAGAATATAAACATGTAAATTATAATATGTAATCATAATAGTGAAATACATTTTATTTTGACTTAATGCTGTGTAGTCACATTCTCATATTAACTACCAGTATTCAAACAAATATGCAGAACCTCTGGAATTGGGGGAAAAATATCTATTTCTCCTTTTCTCTAAATACCTAAAATAGTTTAATTACTGCTCCTTAGAAAGACAAACATAGAAAGTTTTAAAAATGGATAAAAAGCAAACACTCTTTTACTCTAGTAATAATAGCATTTGGCTTCAATTCAGCTCCATTTATACAATTAATCAGTCACTCAACAAGTATTTACTGAAGAAAGAGTGTGTTAATTCCAGGTTAGGTGATGGAATGCAAAGAAATTTATAATCCTGTAAGACATATATAATCTTAAGCAAACTAGAGTATAATTGGTTCAACCAAAAAAAATACATATTATGCGGCAGTGACACAAAAGAGGACATAGTCCCTTCAGCTTGTGGCATCGGAGAAGACTTCTCTCCACCCTTCCTTATTACTTGTTGAACTTTATATAAAAAGTATGACATTCCCCTGACCAGGTGGCTCAGCTGGTTGGAGCATCGCCCCACATAGCAAGGGCCTAGGGGGAGATCAATTCCTGGTCAGGGCACATACGTAGGTTGCAGGTTCAATCCCCAGTTGCGGTCCAAATGGGAGGCAACAAATGAATGGTTCTCTCTCACATGTATGTTTCTGTCTCTCCTCGCCCCTACCTTGCTCTAAAATAAATTAACATATCTTTGGGTGAGGATTAAAAAAAAGAAAAAGTATGACATTCATCCACAGAGATGCTAGGGGCTACCAGAGTAAATTCAAGGAAATTACCATGTAAGTTTTTACTTAATTTGCTTTTAATCAGAGAAGAAAAACAGAACCACTGGTCATAATGGCCCCCCCGCCCCGCCACCAGAAGATGGTACAGAGACTGAGTTAAAATTTTTGAGAAAACATTTTATTCTCTCCTTATATATCTTCTATTTTCCTCCAAAATTAGTCCCTTGGCATTTTTATTATTTCTTTCCCTTAGTACAAAAGTAACAACAAATACAATTTTGCAGAATATATATTATTTTGGTACATCTTTTCTCTCATCTTCATGAAGTGTAAAAAGCACTGGACAAATACACTCAAGACCTAGATTCTATATCTAGCTCTTTCATTTTAGTAATTGGGTGATCCTTAGGCTTTAGTTTCTCAAATGTAAACTGAAAATATTAATTACCTTCCTGATCTACTTACATGATTAAATAGCAATGATTTTTTACAGCCTTACTGAGATATAACATAATAAATTACACATAAAGTGTACAACTAGACACTTTTGAGATGTGTATGCCTATAAAACCATCACCAAAGTCAAGATAAGAAACATACTCATCTCCCACAAAAGTCCTTGCCCTTTTTTGTAATCCATCCCTCAGATCCTCCCTGTGCATCTTTCTTCTCCTATATTCAGGTAACCACATCTTACTGTCACATGTAAGTTTGCTTTCCTAGAATTTTTTTAAATTTATAAGCAGAAGTACATACTATGTACTCTTGTTGTCTGACTTCTTTCACTCAGCATAACTGAGATTCATCCATATTACACCCCGTATCAAAAGCTTACTTTTTTTATTCCTAACTAGTATTTGGTTATATAGATATACCAGTTTATTTATCCATTAATGATGAACATATAAATTATTTCCAGTTTTAGCCATTAGAAAAAAAAGCTGCTATGAACAATTGTTTACTAGTCTTTCTCTTCAATAAATATCACAGAGTAGAATGGTGAATCATATATTTAACTTTTAAAAAAAACTACTGAACTCTTTTCCAAAGTAATCACGCCATTTTATGTTTTCATCAGCAGTGTGTGAGTTCCAGTTCCTCCACATACCCAGCAACACTTGGTATGGTCAGTCTTTTTATTGGTTTTAATTTGCATTTCCCTAATGACTACTGATACTAGACATCTTTTCATGTGTTTATTTGTCATCTGTACATCATCCTCAAGTGTCTATTTAAATCTTTTGCTAATTTTTTAATTGACTTGTTTTTACTGAGTTTTGAGATCATTATACATTCTAAGTATAAGACATAAGATTTTTTATCAGATACATGATTTGCAAATATTTTTCCCAGTCTGTGGCCTATCCTTTCATTCTTTAACAGTGTCTTTGGAGAAAGAGAAGCATTGGAGGAAGTGTAATTTATTAATATATTCTTTTGTGGATTGTGCTTTTGATGTTAGATATCTAAAAAAAAAATTGCCTAACATTTTTTAAGGTTTGCTTCTAATAGCTTTATAGTTTTAGATTTTAAATTCATCTCTATGATCCATTCTGAGTTCATTTATATGTTGTGTGGTGTGAATCAAAGTTCTTGTTATTTTTGCATATGGTGATCCAACTGTTCCAGCACTGTTTGTTGAAAAAACCATCCTTTCTCCACCAAAGTGTCTTCACACCTTTGTTGAAATCACACACACACACACACACACACACACACACACACACACCCCGTCTATATAGATCTATTTCTGGATTCATTATTCCACTCCCAACCTAGTTGTTTATCTTTATGCCAATATTATGCCTTCATTACTATAGTTTATATTTATAATAAATCTTGAAATCATGCAGCGTTAGTCTTTCAACTATGTTCTTCCATAGTAACATTTTAATGCAAGTTTTTAAAAACCAGATATGGCTATTCCAATGAAGGGTACTATTATCATTTTAAAAAATATATTTTACTGATGTATGCTATTTAGTTGTCCCAATTTTTGCCCCTTTTACCTCCTCTGCCCAGTACCACCATTCCATCCAGCAATCCCCTCCCCTTACTTCATGTCCATGGGTCATGCATATGTTCTTTGGCTTCTTCATTTCCTATACTGTTCTTAACATCTCCCAGTCTATTCTGTACCTACCAATTTGTGCTTTTTAATCCTTGCACCTTTCCCCCCATTTTCTCCCGACCCCTCCCAACTGATAATCCCCCAAATGACCTCTATATCAATGATTCTGTTCCTGTTCTGGTTGTTTGCTTAGCCTGTTTTTTAGATTCAGTTGTTATAGTTGTGGATTTGCTGCCATTTTAATGTTCACTGTTCTGATCTTCTTTTTCTTATATAATTAGTTCCCTTTAACATTTCATATAATGGCTTGGGGACGATTAACTCCTTTAGTTTTACTTTGTCTGGAAAGCACTTTATTTGCCCTTCCTTTCTAAATGATAACTTTACTGGATAGAGTAATCTAGGTTGTAGGTCCTTGCTTTGCATCGCTTTGAATACTTCTTGCCAGTCCATTCAAGCCTGCAAAGTATCTTTTGAGAAATCAGCTGACAGTCTTATGGGAACTCCTTTGTAGGTAACTCTCTTCTTTTCTCTTGCTGCTTTTAAGAATCTCTCCTTATTTTTAACCTTTAGCATTTGAATTGTGATGTGTCTTAGTGTGGTCCTCTTTGGATCCAACTTGTTTGGGACTCTCTCTGCTTCCTCGACTTGTATATCTATTTCCTTCACGAAATGAGGGAAGTTTTCTTTCATTATTTTTTCAAATAAGTCTTCAATTTCTTGCTCTTCCTCTTCTCCTTCTGGCAGCCCTATGATTCAGCTGCTGGTATGTTTGGAAATGCCCCAGGGGCTCCTTAGCCTATCCTCATTTTTATGGATTCTTTTTTTCTTCTTGCTATTCTGATTGAATGATTTTTTTCTTCCTTGTGTTCCATATCATTGATTTGATTCTTGACTTCATCCCCTCCACTGTTGGTTTCCTGTAGATTTTTCTTTATTTCACTTAATGCAATCTTCATTTCTGCCTCAGTCTTTTTTATGCTGTTGAAGTACCCAATGAGTTCTTTGAGCATCATGATAACCAATGTTTTGAACTCTACATCCAATAGGTTGTCTATCTCCATTTTGCTTAGTTCTTTTTGTGAGTTTTGTTTTTTTCTTTCATTTGGGCCATATTTTTGTCTCCTCAATTTGGCAGCCTCCCTGTGTTTGTTTCTGTGTATTACATAGGCCTGCTATGACTCCCTGAGTAGTACGGCCTACTGCAAGAAAAGTGCACCTGTAAGTTGTATGGGGCAGAGCCTTAGGTTATAGCCAGGGTGGAGCAACACATCTCACCAGTCTGTGGCTCTTTGTGGGGGAGGGCTCAGAGAGGGGACAAGCCACTGTCTGGCCTCTGGAGTTTTGCCCGGGAGGAAGCTGTCTCCCAGCACTCCCCCTGTTGCCAGTCACTTCAATTTCTCCCCATATGCCCCTGGTGCCCTTTCTGGTGTTGCCCTGGTGCTGAATTACAGACGGGGTATATCTGTGTAAGTTCTGAGGCTGCAGGCCCCGTAAGAGGAATCTCCTGAGAATCCGGCAGTTTCTTCCACTGCTCCAACTCCCACTGGTTTTTACAGCCAGAACTTATGGGGACTTATCTTCCTGGTGCTGGAAAGCTGGGCTGGGCGGTTTGGTCTGAAGCTGGGATTCTTTGCTACCCCGTTATCCCTTGCTCCCAATGTATCCCTTCCAATTTTAATCTACCACATGTGAAAATGGGACTGCTTGATCCACATCTCTATGCCTCTGCAGGTCACTCTGCATCTTTGTGCCTCGCCATGCCTCTGCGCCTCTGTATTTCTTTGTATCTCTACTGCTCCTACCCATTTGGATGAATGTGGCTTCTTTAAATCCTTTAAATCCATAGAGCTCGATTTTCAGATGAATATGGGTGATACTTGTTTTGTAGTCTAGTTGTAATTTTTGCTGTAGTTGTGCAAGAATGCAAAGCCTGTTTACCTACACCTCCATCTTAACCTGAAGTCCTATTATCATTTTTCTACTTCAACAGTTAAGGTAATATTAAACTAAAAGAAATGACATAAATCTCAAAATAATTCTAAATACTCTTTTTTATATGTAAAATGGACTATGTATATCTAAAGGCATTTTTACTCAAAAAAGGCACACAATTTTGAATGCATATAACAATATTTAACATCCTTACCCGCAAACCATATTTTACTCGTATTTTCTTTAATTCTTTTCTCCTTTCCAACTCTTTTTCCTCTTTGCTTAGTGTTGGACCAACTAAAAGGAAAAAGTGAGTTTGGTTTAAAAAGAAAAACTCCCTAAATCTGACAGATTTTATATAGAATACTCATATTTAATAAAACTAGTTAACAATATTAGTAGTCCATCAGTAGATTAATTAAATGTGGAAATAAACATTAATATATCGGAATCTTGGGTTGTGAAGATGTCCTTTCAATATTTTGGTAATTGAAGTCTACTTGGAAGGTAAACCAAAATGCAAAAGATTATAGGAATGTTACAGTATAGGTAACAAAATAAACACTAAACATCTTAATTTTCTGATATGAGTATTATACAAGAATCCCAAATGCAGAAATGCTGTGAATTTTCTAAAGAAACATATGCATGTGCAAAAGAAAAATCACAGAGCCCAAGATTCATGTTACTTTGTAATATGTCATACTTATTTTTATAATCTAATATCAGAAAACAAAAAATATGCAATGACCATGTGAAATTGGTATTTAGAGGAGTAAGTGATGTGAAAAAAATTTGTTTTTACTCGTTCAGAGTATCTATTTAAATTTTAAAAGCCTTAGACGAGTGGGTTTAAAGCAAGATAGCAACTTCCTACAGTGTTATTTACTATAGAAAATAATGGTATATACACAGCTGATGTATCAACATGAACTGTAAGTAGGAGAGTAAACATATCAACCAACAACTGTAAATATCTTGGCCTATTATTTTGTTACAATATTATATGACAGAGTTTAACTGTGGATGACTTTTTCAAATCAGTAAGTAGATGTTAAAAGGAAACCAATATTTATTATAGTTATGTCACAGTTACTTTTTTGAAGAGCATTTAGCTACCACTGCAGTGCTGCTTCAAAAGCCAACTAAACTAGATTAGCAAAAACAGAGCTAATGATTACCTCCTGGTCAGAAAATAACCTAATGCTATAAAAGCACAGCTAAGCGATTACATAGAATAACCAGGTACAATCATAATCAACTAACCTAGGTCTCAAGTTTGAAAAACATGTCATTTTTGAGTCTCATTTGATAACATTCATGGAAATATAAATTATCTTAATACAGTATTATATAAAAATTATTATATGAAGATATGAAGCTCATAGCCAACTGATATATTTTTAGAACACTCCAGTGAATTAAAAAGATATCATGCCCTCATATAACAATATGTTTCACATACCAAAAGATTCATCTTTCTTATCAAGACGAAGGTGAGCTCTAACCTGCCCTGGCTCGCAGCCATCACAGGTGTCACTGCCTGGGTGAATGTGAAAGGACAATACAGTCTCTCCAATTTTCACTTCATCTCCATGCTCAAGTACGTAAGGGTCACATTTAGTTTTTGGCTGAGGGGAAAAATTACCAAACAGAAATCCAAAAGATTTATATATGATTATTTTATGTCAAATGGAAGTAACGTTTGATTATAACAAAAAAAAAATTTTTGAGACTAAGTTTCAATGAAAAAGACACACGTATGCATACACATATCCACAACTCAATGACCCATGATGTACTACTATTGGATAACTGAACTGCGAAACTTCTAATTTTTGTATTATCAGACACCACAATATCCTATCTCCATGCCCAATCTCATCAGAGAACTACCTAACCCAAACTGCTAAAAATCTATTACCAAAACAAATAATCATAGTAAAAAAGATGAAGTGTTAAGGGGATAAGTGTACCATTAGTCTCCTTTTTCCCTCTTCTTTTCTCATGATAATTCAGTTTTATTTCATTTTTGATTCTTACAGACTAATAATAAGGACTCCCTTCCAGTGCCAAGCACTTTGCTACATGTTGAAGATAGAAGAGTTAATTAAATAGACGTAGCCCTTGGCTTCAAGGAATTTACAGTTTAGAAACATTTTCAGTAAAATAAATTTAAAAAAACACAAAAAAGGACCTCTCAAGTTGCTGTAAAAACATTTACTCTGAATAGCTTTAAAATGCATTTAGCTCTAAAAACAAGGGATAGATACATAATTAGAGGTCAAAAGTCAATAGTCAAGAATCCACTTATTATATACGTCTTCAGCCCTTTCTGGGAACCCCCTTCCACATAACAGATTTGGACTTGAACACTGACCTAATCAAATGATATGTATAATAACTATCAGGAATAGCCATCAGGAATAAAAATTTTAGTTCAATTTTTTAAATAATGTACAAGTAATTAATATATATGCACTCACCTGAAGAATCTGTTTCCCATTAACAACTGTACCATTTTGACTGCCTTGATCCACAAGGACATAACTTTGTAAGTCATGGTCAAAATAAATTTCTGCATGAAACTTAAAAAAGAAATCAGGTACTTACAAAGTTGCATACTTTTTTTAAACCATAGATGATAATTTCTCTATGATAGAATGCAAGAGACTTTAGTCTGATTATTTAACTTCTATTATTTATTATTTTTTCTGAATACAGAACTGTAATACTTCTGGTACAACTATGGAGGTTACAGATGAAAAAGGCACGTATAATTTCACCTGTAACTACCATTAATAACTTAGTGTGTCCTACCTTTTCTACTTCTATAATATAGTTGCGACTATACTAGACACACAATTAGAAATTGTTTTTTCACCTAATATAAGTATCTGTCCATATAATTAAAAATTCTTCTTAATACAAAAGGTGATTTGGAATATTGAAAGTCAACTTCTCAGAGAAGTTTTCCAGTTTTTTAATACTAAGGCTAATAACTCTCTCCTAGCTCCACAGCACTTTATTTATATAACACATTATATGAAGTTACTGCAGATGTGCATGTTACTGTACTGCGTACAATTACTGCTTACATTAGTTTACATTTTTACTTACCTCTCAGGACATTATAGAGTGCTTCATATATCCTGGATATGTATTCAATACATGTCTCTTTAATTGGGTAAAGAGCTGCAGAGATATTTAATTTACTATTTCATATGCAATACAATATGGTAGGAACATAAAATGGTGCAGCTGTTTTGGCAAGGTCTGGCAATTTCTCAAAAGGATAAGAGAGTTACCATACAACCCAACAATTCTACTCCTAAGTATATATCAAGAGAAATGAAAAAATACATCCAAACAAAAACTTGTACACAAATGTTAATAGCAACACAACATTATTCTTAATAGCCAAAAATTGGAAAGAATTTGAATTTTGTCAATTGACAAATCACAAAATGTAGTATATCCATACAATAGAATATTATTTAGCAATAAAAAGAAATTAAGTACTGGCATATGCTACAAAATGGATGACTATTGAATATATGTTAAGTAAAAAAATTAGTTACAAAAGATTACATGTTATATAATTTTATTTACATAAAATGTACGGAATATGCAAATCCAGAGACAGAAAGACTGGTGGCTGCCTAGGGCTATGGGGGTTGGAAGGAACTGAGGAGTGACTACTATGAAGTTTGTTTCTTTATATGATGATGAAAATGTTCTAAAATCAGTATGATGATTGCAGGACTCTATGAATATACTAAAAATCTTTCAATTATACACTTCCAATGGGCAAATAGTATTAATATATGCTATATAAACTATATTGCAGCAAGGCTGTTCTTTTAAAATTTCCATAAACATAAAATGTTTCAAACAAAAGAATATATTGAACCTATTGATCTGTGAACCAGCTTTAATAAATTTTACCCTATTTGTCTCAGGTATTTAAAATTAGTTATCAATTAATGTGTACCTCACTCTGACCATCCCCCACCCTTCCTTTTCAGAAGTTTGATGTTTATTTAATCATGATACATCTCTTTGTACTTTTACCACATATGTATGTATCCATAAACAGTATGTTTATTTTGCCTAATTGGAACTTGATATAAAGGAGTCATAGTGCATGAATTTTTTATTGAGATATAACTTACATATAGAAAATTAATAGGCCTTAAATGTATAGAGTGATGAGTTGTGATGTACGCTACTGTATGTATTTCTTTTATTTTACTTCTTTGATTTGTTACTATAAGATACATCCATCCAGTTGCTGGGCACAGTTGTACCATTTCACTGAATGGTAATCCATTGTACAGAGGTCCCACAATCTACATATTTTTCTGACAATAACATCCATATTTTTTCCAAGATTTTATCATTTTTAAAAATGTTTCTATGAATGTTCTTATACACGCAACCTTCCTGTGGACAAGGCAAGTGTTTCCCTAGGGTATATACTTAGAAATAAAATTGCTATGCTACAGTACAGGCAAATCTTAAGCTTTATTAAATACTGCCATACTGTTTTCCAAAGTGGTTGTACAAATTTATATTGCCAACAGCAGTCTGTAAGAATTCTTGTTGCTCTATATATAGCCTTAATTACACTTAGTATTGATAACATTTTAGTTTTACAAGTATAAAAATCTTATCATTGTGATTTTCATTTGCATTTCCCTGATTACTACTGAAGTTGAAATCTTTTCTTATATCTATTAGTTATTTGGGCTTCCTGTTCTGTAAATTTTCTGTCCATGTTCTTTGTACATTTCATTCAATTGGGTCATTTAGAATAATAATAGCTGTATCAAAAGGTTTAAATATTTTCAAGTCTTTTGACTTGAAACTTTATTCCAAAGAGCTGTTCTAAATTATGTTCCCAAGAGGAGTGATATTTAATAAACATGATGAGAGAGGAAATGATATCTTAGACTGATTGGTAGTTCCTAAATTACTAAAAAGATTGAATGGTTTTCATATGTTAACCATGATTTTACTCTACTGTGAACTGTTAATGTCCTTTACTCATTTATCTATTGGTGTCACAGTGGGGTTTGAAAAACTGAATTTGTATGAGTTTTAAAATGAAAGAATATGTATTTTGTCTTATTTGTCTGACTGTCCTAGCCTGTTTTTTAAACATGTTTCTTAACATACAAAGAACTTCAAAAGTGTATGGGGGATGAGGGGGTAATTTAATTTTTTTCATCTGCCCAGGTATGTGTGATGTAATATATACTGTCAAACTGATTTCACACAGCTAACAAATTGTTTACCTCAACAGTGGACATGTTAGTTCAAAAGAGAGAAAGAAAAAGCAGAATGCCACCAGAGATCTACCTGTATTTTTAGATTGGAGTGTGAGAAGGACTTCTTTGCTATTTAAATTACAGAATGTGTTTTCTTTAGGGACTAAGAAATAAAGGGTCACCAAAATCATGTAAAATATATACTTCAGATCCATAGTGTAGACCCATTAGAGACAAAATGGGAATGATTAAAGGTCAAAAAAAGAAAAAACAAAAAAAGGGGAGGGACTGAATAACCACAGGAGGGGAGAGGAAAAACGACAGAAAATATAGTAGAAAAAGATACATATATACAGACTATCAGTAGCTAAACTTTCTTTGTAACGTATGATTTAAGTTGCAACTCTGTCCTTATTGTTTGAAGACTCCACAGTTCTTTTTCCTTAAAGAAACCATTAGTGACTTAACTAGGAAAAATTACAAATGAAGAGCTTTGGGTAGGGATAGATTGTTCTTGGGCTGTAAAATACACTGGAATCAAAGTAACCCTCAACTAAAAGCAGCCTGAATCCAAGCCTGATTCATTTTTCAACTGTCATAACATCTTCCATATTTACTTCACTCAATAAATATCTTTTAAATGGGTATTACTTAAATACCTAAATCCACATTTTCTATTCCTGCTCCAGACTGTTAAAAATGAAACATAATTTAGTTAATTTGAATTGTGATAAAGAATTTTTCTTTTCTCAAGCAGTGGAATAATCCAATCTGCATCGCTTTCATTAGCAATACTACACTGACTATTAAATGGGAAAAACCCTAAGCTTTCTGTCATAATGATGATTTATAAAATTACATGGAGGTACTATACTTGTAAAAGCAAAGAGCTTACCTTACTGACACCAACTTCAGGAATTCGGAGAGTATGCTCCATATCTTTTTCTCTGCAGAGTTAAGAAAAAGTCTTTAATAATTTTTGAAGCATATATAAATATAGCACTGGGAGACATGAAAAGAATTTTTAAAATATGTTAAAAAAGATATGTTAAAATGAAAGTCTTTCTATCACATTAAGTCTAGTTTCCTTAATCATACTCTAAATTTTTTACTTGAAAGGAGGTTCCAGAATTACTTTTATTCTTTGGTACATCTATCCTGGACTAATAAACATCCAGTGAGACAAAATATCTTTGTATTAATGTCAATTATTTATTCCAGGTCTGTTGATTATGTTCCCATTTCTACAACAATATATAAAAGGAGCACACTATTCTTCAAAAATTTAAAGTTAAGGCATTGCATAAAATCTGAATTAAGGACAGATTATCTTTCCAGTTAGGAAGAAGGGAATTATTCTACTTGTGATTAAAACTTACCTCTCTAGCAAGCTGGTTATGAGGTACAAAGGGGAAAGGAAAGGAAGAAAGAAGAAGGACAATACAGGGTTTAGGTAAGTAATTTAAGTCTAAAAAAGGCAATAAAAAATGTAAGAATATGACAAAATCTCTGTGAAAGTTATCACTGAGATTTTCTCTTTACATAGGCAGCCCCCTTTTGGAACCATGAAGTCATACCCTCGACTGATTTCCAAAAGCAAGTAACGAAAGTGTCAATAATATTTTTTGAATACTATGTGTAAGTGCTTGAATAACAAGTACCATGTACATTTCAAGATAATTTCTCAGGAAATGTGCAAATCACTAAAATGAGACAAATATACAAATATCATGATATTAAACATTTTACCTTCCAATTGTAGCAGGGTTTACAGCTGTAATAATAAAAAGCGATCCTGTCTGCAACACTGGTGATCTAATAACAATTACTCTGATACAAGGGGGCCAAATTTTTTCTTCATCTGCAAAAGAAACAAGTGGGTAAATATTAATTCAAATGCTATGAAAAACAATTAGAATTGTCTAGGGAAAATAGGTGGCGTTCATAAAAGTGTATATATCAAAAGGCTTAATTCCGTTTTAAACAACCTTCTTAAATCCTGCTACATACACAATTAATAAGGCTTAACACTGTTACTAATGTAAAGTGATCAGCCTAAAGGTACTCAGCAAGGTCAGCATGTATCACAAGTACAAAATAATCAACTCTTTTTTAAAGTCTTGGAATGTGAAAATGTCACAAACAAGCATTTTTATATTAAGTTAGAACTAAGTGTACCCTTTTTAAAAATATAAGAAATTCCATTAAAGAACAAAATAAGCTCACAGACCCTAATATGAAATCTTGGGTTTTAAAAGTATGTCTCTATATCCTCAAGTTGAAAAAGAGAGAGAGAGAGAGAGAGAGATAGGGAGAGATAGGGAGAGAGAGAGATTGATTTATCATAATACCTGTGTAGCTGAATTGATGGATTACACATTTGAAAGGCCATTTGCTCTCCCTCTCTCAATTACACCTTAATACATACTTTAGGATTAGGGCATAGGTAACTTGGTTCTGTGTTCTATTGAATAGACCATTTTATGCAATGAAACTTTAAGGTCCAAGTGTTAGTCATTTATTCACATTTTACTCCCAAAGAATAACTTGTGGTAGCTCACATAACTTTCAATGACATAATTTAAAATAATCAATTTTTTAAAAATCTGTTTATTTTTTTGGCAGATGTATCATACTGACATTTTTAACTGTGTTGCTTCATTTCCAATGACCAGACTGGGTCATTTATGTAAAATTAAATAAAGATAACTCACCTTCATCCTCAGTATCTTCTGCTGTTACATTATCTTCACTGGTAATGTCTTCGTCATAGCCATCCTCAGTCTGAGAGTCTGTAATTTCACCTTCTTCTGGCTCACTATCAGTCTCTCTGATTTTCTCATCTTTAAATGAAGTCGAATTATAGACGTTTTCATTAGAAGGAGATTCTATAGTCTTTCCAGTCATCGGAACAGTGAATTTGGGGGAACTATTTTTGTAACGAACATCTATTTTGGACTTCTTTTTCACATTTGCACAATCTTCTCCCTCACTGTAGTTTTTATGATCAATTGTGGATGCTTTTTGATCTTCTGAATTCAAATCCTGGAGAAAGGTAAATGGGAGGATAATCTTAAACATGACCATCCTATAATGTTAAATGTTACAATGAACTAGTGAAGATACACGCAAAGTGAAATAACAATAGCTATCATCTGTACCCTCTCTTCTGCTCATGTTCCCTTGGCTCATTAAACACATTACCATCCACTTAGTATCCAAATCAATAATCTTATAGTTATATTTAACATCCACTTAACCACCACATGAAATCAATTACCAAGCAATACAGACTGTTTACAATTTATCCCAATTCTCTATCTATCTATTTTCAATGTCCTAATTGTCCCAGTCCAGGCCCTCATTACGTATCGCTTGGACCAGGTGACAGTCTAGACCAACGTTGTCTAATAAAAAAAAAAAAATGCAAGCCATATTTATAATTTAAAATTTTCTAATAGGAATATATATAAAAAAGGTAAAAAGAAGCAAGTGAAATTCATTTTATTATTTTATCTAACCCAGTATTTACAAAATACTATCAATATTTAATATACATTAATATTTAATCAATATAAAAACTACCAATGAAATATTTTACATGAATTTTTTGTACTGTCTTCAAAACTGAGTGTCGTTTATACTTAAACACATCTGAATTGTGGCATTTCCAGTGCTCGGTACCTTACTGGACAGTGAAGGCCTGGAGAATATCTACCCTAAATTTTGTTTTGACCTTTTAACCAATTAGCAAGTCTACACATAAAATACAGAACTGGCTTTCAGAGCAGCAGGGGTTTAAAGATCCAAATGTAACTACTGTAGTAAAACAGTAGTTTTGCTAAAATTTAGCACTTTATAGAGTTGGTTTGAAAACACGTAACAGTTTAAAGTAGAGATGAATCAGTTACATCTCTTTTATTCTAAAACTCTAGCTTACCTGGCATAGCCTTTTATTGTTTGTTGTACAATTGTATTGCGCATGCCTTTTGTATATGAGCAAATCTATTATTTTAACCACATAAGAAGCAGAGAGTTATTTTCCCCTTTTTTCTTTGGTTTGTAACACACTGAATTTTCTTTCTACCTGAGGGCCACATGATGAAGTGAATTCATATGTTCTTCTTTTACTTTATAAAATATGAAAGCATCTTAAACACATACTGTTAACGGCAGCATAAATTCAATTTGGAGACTGGCTACACTCACAGTGTGATAAATATACCCTTCTGGCAATAAAAACTCACCAAGGACAAGAACAAAGGGCAAAGAGTTGACCAACTGTGACCTTTAGAGGTCACTGTAAGTTATAGCAAAAAATTTCCCTATGTACAAGGTCTGTCCAGAAAGAATACAGCCATGTAATACAAAAAATAAAGACATTTATTGAAGAAGCTACAAGAAACACTGTACATAGGACAATGACATCTTAGGCTCCTTCAAAGTAGGCACCTTGGGACCTCACACAGTTCTCCCAATCACCATCAGCTGCACCATCGTATTTTCCTGAATCTCATTGATGGTCAGAAATCTCTTCCTTTTCAAAGGTGATTTTAGTTTTGGGAAAAGCCAGAAGTTGTAGGGCACCAAATCTGGGCAGTGGGGGTGGTGAGTCGCCTGGATAATTTGATGTTTCACTAAAACACTCTGTACGAAACATAATGCATAAGCGGGCATTGTTATGATGAGGCTGCCAATCACCAGCTGCCCATAGCTGCAGCCTTCTAGTTCATCCAAATAGTTTCCCAGGACGGATGTTCAAGCTTAACACAAAACTTTATGCATATTCATTGCTCTCCTCACTCAGTCATTTTGAATGTGACACCCACACAGTACACATACTAACTCAACTGCATCTACTGCCCCCACTGACCAGTACAGTGTAGACCTCATTGTTCACGCACGCACATTCCAGTCCACTCTACTTGGTTGCCACGTTACACCCATGTTGCTCAAGCCATTCTGGTTAATTAACAACGGTTGGACTTTTTCTAGACAGACCTCATATATATACCTTAAAGAAAGCAGTTCCCAATCTTGTATATTTTATTATTACTGTTTATAGGACAACATATGCAACGAAAAAGTGAATGAAATTGCCAGAGGTGCTACTTTTTAAAAACTATTTGTCAGAATGTGATATATTCATTAAGAGATAAGAAAGAGGGGTCTATACGTGGGAGATTGAGGCATATATGTATATTTGCATTATTTACTCCATTCGCCTCAATCTGCTCTCTTCTTTCCCCATAGTCTCCACCTACAAAGAACGAGGCTCATGAGGAACTTAAAAAATAAAGAAAACGTGAGGATGTCTTAACTGGTCTTCCATACTTCACAATATAATTTTTTGGAATTTTCAAAATTCTATCATAATTTTTTAAGTCCCTGTCCCTAGAGTTCACTTATTTTTTAAGAAGGATGGTAAAGAGGAGCAGTTATGGGAGCTAAACTAAAACAAAATCTCACTGAATGCTTTCAAATTTCATTCTCTAGTTTGTCAGGAAAGGCTTTTTGATGACCCCTATAAGTTCTTTTCTTTTTGCTTGGGAGAAGTACTTTTACAACTGATCCTCTCCAACAGTTCAACCACCAGTAACAGGTATGAGTCATTAAAACACAGTTCTTGAAAGCAAAGAGAAAAATCATTTTTAGTATTTTAGTAACGTACTCTTCTATTCCTATGTACTGTCAGTGAGAATAGCAGAGCAATAGAAACAAATCAAATAGAGAACAGAGAACAAATTCAACAGGATCCCAACTCCATATATGAACCTTGGCATTATACATTTTAAATTCTTTGTCTTTGGTTAAGAAGAGAAAAACATGAGACAAAAATTTAAGAGTATCAAATAGTTGCCACAATTCATAAAATACCAATATAACAAATAAGCCTCTTTTCCTGCCTATACACCATCAACTTTATCTGTGGAGTGAGCACAAATAAAAGCATTAATAACTTTTTAAATACTTTCCATCTTTCAATTTAACCTTCTATCGTAACTGTTTTTAAAATTCCCCTCATTTTTTATAACTACCATTTTAAGGCATAAGTAATGTTTTTTCAATTAAAAGTACTATCATTTTTTAAACCAATATTGTGTGGGCCATTTGAACTTTTAATTTTTTTCTGTTCTGATAAATATTGCTATATAAAATACAATGACATTATTCTTTCTTTGGATTTAAAAAATAATAATAAATTTCCAGAAATGAGATTTTCCAAAGGAAAACTATCAACATTTTTACAATTATTGATACAAACATCCAATCTATTTTTCAAAAAGATATCAACTTATACTCCTAACAAAGATATATCTACTCTATATTTCTCAGAAATGGAGTTTTTAAATGTTTGCTAACCTGATAGGTAAGAAATTGCTCAACATGACTGCTTTTGTTTTATTGCGAACTGTGCACTGACATCAACTTAATCAATTAAAGGCTTGAAATTCCTTCCAAATTATATAACACAAGAGTATTTCTGTATGCCCTAAATCTACCTCCTTTAAACTTTTAAGAAATTCCTTCTACTTCTATTGACTGAGAATTTGCATAACAGACTCATGTAAACACTCCTTGGTTAATAGATTCTGATACCTTGTTATCTTAGTTGATATGTTTGAAATACAGAGATACTGAATGATTTTCAATTTCATCAAAAATTTTGGCAAAATTGTTTCATAACTGCGAAAATTTAAAAAATTAGGAAGACAATACCTTTTCCTCATTTGTTGTAGAAGAATCTGGATCCTTCCTTTTCTTCTTCAGTTTTTTATCTTTACTTTGTTTTGTACCAGAAGTCTGATAAGGTTGCAAATCTACTCGAGAATGAAATTGATATCGACCACTTTCCACATCACAGTAGTAATAAATTCCAGTGGAAGGATCGTAATATAGTTGATTTTCCTTTTAAAAATCAAGAAAGCAATAAGTACTATTTATGGAAGATAAAATAGAAAAATAAACAATAAAAACCTCAAACATATTCAAATATAGTAAATGTTTATTTTAAGAATTACAGCATTTTCTGAAAATAGTAAATAAAAATGTCAGAATGAAAAATACTTGTAATTTTTCTAAATACTTTACCATTCAATATCTGCTCTAATTTTCCAAGAGTGAAAAATGAGTATATTTAAATATTAAATTGAACCATGAAATTGCCAAAATTTGACCATTTTTTAACTCACAAAGACAGCAATTTCATATGGTTCAACTTAAGAACATCAACAAAAAATTATAAAAAACTTTTTAGAAGTTATGAAAACTAAGGTATGCAACAGAAAAAGTTGAGTATATGAAAGCAATTCCAGACTTATTATCCTTAAGATTACACAATAATAATTTGGTAATATAAACCCCTGAACCCTTCTCTCACTGTCATAAAGCAAAGATTTGCCTTTTTACGTTCATGACTAAAAGTCCTAACGAAAAATTTGGAAATAACACTAAGTTCATAAATATTAAAACATAACATTCTATACAAAGAAATTGATTTAAAAACATCGTCTTCTTCCCTGGCCAGCATGGTGCAGCAGGTAGGAGCATTGTCCTGTACCTGAAGGGTTGCCGGTCCAATTCCCTGATCGGGTGCCTATGATACCCAGTCCAGGCACCTATGATTCCCAGTCCAGGTGCATACATGAAGCAACCAATTGATGCTTCTCTCACACATTGACATTTCTCTCTCTCCCTTCCTCTCTCTCTATAAGCAATGAAGAAAACGTCCTCAGATGAGAACAAAAAGAAAAATTATCTTCACTTAATTCTACCAGTAAGCAACTAAAGACTTACAAGTAAAGCAGACACCCAAAATAAACTTTGGCAAATTACGGATAAAAATGAGAAAGATAAAATTATGTAATCATCTGCAGTTTTTAGATACTGGCCAGTATCTATAAACAAGATTTAACCGAAAGTCTGTATTTTCTTTTTATCATAAATCCATGCAGATCAGACCTGTAAACATCTTATGACATACTGAGATTAAAACTTCCTTAAAAAGAATAATTTATTTTTCTAACTGTCGATACTATTGCAATTTATTGTCTCTAATCCATTTTGCAAATCTCTTACAAAAATATTTTGAATTCAATATTTTCTTTAAAAAATGGAATGGATGCATTCTTTTATTTCTAGTAATAATAGAACATTTATAATGCAAACCTTTTAATGTTATGTCTTTCAGTCCAAAACATAAACATTTTCAAAAATATTTTTACATTTTTATTTAATTAAAAGGAAATGAAAACTAGTAAAACAATGAAGTCCCTAATTTACTGAGACATATTAACCTGCAGAATGTAACTAACCATTTACAGAATAGATGGCAGGAGGAAAGACATAGAAAGGAAGGTAGAAGAATGACAGAGACTAATGTCATATACTCAGAAACTCTGTATTTTCCTAGAAACCAAGTAAGGAATAGCTACTCTCTTTAGTAATGAGTTTAAACAATTTTTTTTTATCTTCACCCAAGGACATTTTTTCACTGCTTTCAGAGGAGGAGGAAGGGAGAGAGAGAAACATGGATGTGAGAGAGAAGCATCACGTGGTTGCCTCCCAGATGCACCTGCACCAGGGATTATTCATGCCCAAACCAGGGGATCAAACCAACAGCCCAGGTATGTGAGCTGACCAGAATCAAACCCCCAACCTTTCATTTATGAGACAATGCTTCAACCTGCTGAGCCACACTGGCCAGGGCTAAACATTAATTTTCTGGGTATTAACCAGCGTTGTCAATTAGCACACTCCTGTGAAAGAAAACCCTCTCTTTACAATGGATTTACAAAATATGTATACAAAGTGCAAATTGACAAGCTAATGAAATCCCCATCTAAGGTATTTAGTATAATCATTATGTTCCCTAGATTAGTTAACAATACCTCCAGTAACTGGAATCGTGAATATCTGTTTCACTTTTGGCCACTACATTCTGTAATTCCTGACACCAGGATCATATGTCTAGACCATCAAGGTCAAGATACATGGGGATGTGAGTTCCATCATCATTGTCATCAAAAGCTGATTAAAAGTCCAATTAAGTACCAGACTTCAACAGCCATCACACTGTATTACAAATCAAGAACTTAATTTTCTGGTTCTGTCCTAGTCTGTGGTCCATTATATTCCTGATTCCACACTAATTTCCTAGTTCTCACTGTTAACAGATTGATTTTTATAAAGTGAAATGCTTAAAAGCCACAGACACAAAACACTAATAATAAACATGCTATTGAGGATTCAAGAAAAAGACTCCCTCTGTGGGAGTCTTACTTCTTAAGTATTTGAAATTAAAAAAATCTAACCCCAAGCCTAGAATTAACAATGCCACTTTCTTATAAATTCTAATAAAAGAAAAATTTAGAGTCAATATAGTTAATTGCTTTTATTAATAAATGTTCCAACATTTTTGTATGTTCCTTTATAAAGGTTATTAGACCTCTCTAAAATATAAATTTATAATAATCACAATTAACTCCTTTAATTATAAACCTAGAAGTCTAATATCATAATCTATTTTGTAATTCTTTACTCTTGTCAAACACCTTTGCAACAAACATAACTTTTAAACACAGCTTCTTTCTTTTCTTAGTTCAGCTTAGGGTTTAATATTAGGTATCAGGCACTGAAGTATACAATTACAGTATGAAGAGGTCTCAGATACTTACAGAATCATAATAGAAACCAGTGCTATGGTCAAAATACAGTCCAGTATTCTCATCATAACTAAATCCAGTCTGTGACACAGCAGCTTCTGCTGCAGCTCTCAAACTTTCAGCTAATGATGAACCTTCTAAGGATGTATCTTCTGTTGCTAAAACAGATGCCGGCTCCTAGGTAAGGAATATTCATGTCAAGTAAGACAAAAATGTCCTTACATTTTTACAAATTTACGTCAACTTAAAAGTTAGCAAAATTTGAAACAATAACTAGACTTAAAAGCTATATTAAATAATGACTTTGATTTCTGCAATGGAAAGAGTGGCTATCAATTACAATTTGCTCCACTTTAAAAAATACTTACTAGTACATAAGTTAATTCAATTTTGACCCAGTTTTGAAGACACTAGAAGTTTGTGAGTGACCATTACTCAAAGATAAATGCCGGATATCACAGGGAAGTAATCCACAAAATAAGGACTCTGAAGTATTCTTTAAGACAAATGATCTAGATTCTTCCACAATCATAGGTCCAAAGGGAAAAAATATTTTAGAAGAGAGATGGAGGAGAAAGCTATGGCTTATGTGAGATTTATTACACCATCGGCAGTTGCACTGTATGAACCTCCCTGGAATCCTGATTCAAACAAAGTATAGAAAAAATTTATAAAACATTCAAGGAAATTTGAACACTGGCAGGATATATGACATAAAAGAAGCACTAAAAAATTTTTGCTGTGAACAAGATTATCGTGGTGGTTGTACAAAGTTTTTTGGTTAAGTCAAAATATACTAAAAAATTTTATTTTAGTTTATGTACGTTGTAAGTTTTTAGAACAAAACAAAGTAAGAAACAATTAAATATATGAACAAGTCATTCTGATTTTTGTTTCTCTAAAAATGTAATATTCTGCATAATTATACACAGAATATTTACAACATTTGTATATGTTGCAATGGACCAAATAAATCAATTTGCCTAAAAACAATAATGAAGGACAAGTTTCTGGGAATCAAAAGTATCATGTTAAGCATTTTCTTACCTGTGAATTTGAGGCAAAACGGTCCTCTGGTGCACCTTCAAACTTTTCCGTTACATCAGTACCAACGTAAACATCATTTTCTATTTGTGACTGGTCTTTAGAATTGTAAGTAGAGGCTTCAATATCCTGATCTTGCTGAACTGAGAGTTCTGTCTCTTTATTTGGAAGACTAATATCCTTGTAATATGTCTGATAATAATAATCTATAGCAAAAACAAATTGTGATACATGTTAGAATAGGGTATATAAAAAGGACTTCATTCTAAAAAATTGGCACTGAATACAAAACAGCACACCCTGCAAACAAACCGTATGTTTACAACTGTACACATTTTAACAGATTAAAACTGACGATGCAGACAAATCTGCAGATGCTTTTATCTTTGATTCCAATGTCACTTTAAGTATCCTAGCTGTCAAGATAAAAAAAAAAAAAAAGGTAAGCAGATTTGGATTTTCCACAGCAAGACTAAAAACAAGGAAAGCAGGTAGATAAGTTGTATTCTGTCAAAAGAAACCCCAGTAACCTTAAACAATTTTTTACCACATACTTTAATTGCATAGAAAATGACAATGGAATAAAAACATGTTAAAGATTCATTTCTCTGTCAAGTATCTCTCATGATGCTGACTTTTTAAAAACTGTATTATCATATAGACATGTAATATTAATGCCATTGATGTGTTTAGCAATGTAGCTAAATTAGGTACTAAATAAGACAAAACGTAATGGGAAAAATCATTTCTTGTGATCTCTGTTTATTAAAACTCAGTTGCTAGGTAACTGTGCCTCACGACACAATGACAAGGCTGAGGTCATGGTAGTGGGCTCACCACTCCCACATTTTACTGAATACAATGTGAAGTGGAATCTATCAACAAGAAAACGTATGCCCCTGGTCACATGGAAAACGCAATATGAGAGTAAATGGCTCAGATCATGGCAGACATTACTCAGTGAATGTGCCATTGGCAACACAGTAGCAATACAATGTATTTACAGAAGTGACAATACATTTCTACTTTTGCATCAGAAGAGGAATTAGATTATCTTAAAATACCTAATCATATGGAGAGAAGACAACCCTGTAACAGTTCTCACATTTATGTGTCTATTTTAAATTTAAAGAAAACTCCATGTTAGTATGATTTGAATATGATAATGTTAGTCTATCTGCACTATCAACTGAATACCTGAGATTGACCAAGAAGGGTGGTTCTCTGTTTGTACTTCTACATCAGACTTCTTACTATCTTCGTTTCTCCCACAATAGAGTATTTTACTGAGCTCTTCTACCTAAAAGAAAGAAAGGCTTTAGGAAAAATAAATCATACAGGAATCTAATATGCACACCATTCTCCTCAAATTACAATTAATTTTTTCTTGATAAAAACTTTAGATAACTACCAATAACAGCTAGTTTCATTTTCAGAAAAATTAAAAATACTATCATTGACTTTTTCATCTTTCACATTTGCAGAGGGAGATTTTGGTTCTAATTTTTTACTTATTGATTTCAGAGAGAGAGAAACATCAGCATGTTGCTCCACCCATCCATGCACCCACTGGATGACACCTGTACATGCCCTGACCAGGAATCAAACCCACAACCCAGGCACATGAGGACGACACTCCAACCAACTGAGTGACCTGGCTAAGACCAGATGTTTTTAATTCTTAACTCTTATACTTCCTTGTTCAACCCCAAAATATCCCTTTTGAAAATCAGATTGATTAAATTAATACAACTTGACAAACAAAATCCTTTATTTCTAAAAAAACCCAACGTTTTTATACTAATATTTTAATTGATTTGTTCTCCTTAAAGAATGAGGGAAAAAAACATTAATTCTCATGCACTGAATTATAAAATACTTTAATGTCCATTTCTCCTTTAAATAGTAGTGTTATGACTGAATGACTGCTGCAGAAGAAAATAGAAATGACAGCCTGAGAGGGGCATCCATCCTCCCTGTGCCTCACTGACTGCCAAAGCCAGAGCAACAGAATGCAGAAATATCCATAAGCAGATGAGCAGCCTCGTCAATACACCTCAGATAGACAAGATCTAAGAGTGATGAGTCTATTACAAGTATAAAATTAACTAAAAAACAAGCTTTTAAATATTTCTTTCATGATACATAAAGCTTAAAAGGAGAAAGGTTATAAAACTGATTATATACAGATTATCTAGGCACTTTATAAATTACCAGAACTACTGGTACAACCAGAGCTAAAACTAGAGTGAACCAAGCAAGGCAGCTAGGGAGCTAGTTAAGGTGGCACCCAGTCTCATCTTTCCTGCAAGTACAGGGTCTATACTTGAGAATGTGTGCCTCCTTAAATTTTTCACCCTAGACTACTACTGATTGCCTTGCCTTAGTCCTAGTTCTGCCACCACCACTATTGCTGTGAAGTACATCATTTATTTAGTATCTGCTACATGCTAGGCACTATATTGGATACTTTGGGTAACATTTTGATTATGTTCCCCTTCTTACAACCACCTAATTAGTTCTCCTAATCCCCATTTTACCTGTAAGAAATCTGAAGACACAAAGTAATTTGCACAAGTTTTTTGTTTGGTTTTTTTCTTGCCTCCAAAGCCTGTGTATATTATGTTTTCCAACAATTCACCTTCAGTTCTCAACCCAACTTTTTACTGCTCCAGACAAAATACTACTTATTAATTTGGGGTGACAGTTAACACCCAACCTCACCACCACCAGGAGAGGCTGACCAGGACAATAAGGAACAACTGCCATTACCAGTAGAGCTGAGGCTTTCTATGCATTTCAATTTTTCATTTTAGACCACTATTAACACTAATAACCAAAATGTCTCTTTAAAGATGAGCAAATATGCTTTTTTTAAAAAAAAAAAAAATCTCTATAGCAAGCAATACTTAAAAGAATTGGGAATTATAAAAGGGTTTTTTAAAGAGCTGTCATATTTTGTTACCCTTCTCCCAAGACATTTTAACGATCTGAATGTGTAATCTCGTAGAACAGCACTTATACATGGCAGGTGTTCAAGAACTAGTTGTTGAGTAAACAAGCTCAAATTTTCTTTCATGTCATAATGTCAACATCTCTATGCAAAGAGCACAAGTCATTGCAACTCAACCGTTATTTACATAGATCATTTGACCATAAAGCATAACAAAGTTTGATATTTCAGGGTTCAGACTACACATGTGGTTTTAGAAAAAATACCAATGTATCATAATGTACTAGACAACAGTTTAATTGAAATTAATAATTAATAATTACGTGAAAACAACTTATCAGGACACAGTGTAACTGACAAACAAATCACGTTGGAAAAAAAAAGCTTAAAAGCTTTACTGTTTGTTTTTTGTAAGCATGAGTTTAAACATTTGTCCTTACTGAATTTTATAAAAATGCAGTGAGTTTAGTGTCTTTAACAAAGAAAGTTATATCTTCCCTACTTCCACCAAAGAACTCAAAATGATAAATGCGCAGAAAGGCCAACCTTACACATAGTGTTCAACAGTTTGCAGAATAGTTTCTTCACGCTTACTTTGATTTAACCTTCACCTGCGCGGTAACAGCATTCTCATTTTCTGGGCAACCGAGTATTAATATTGGTTCACATATCTAGTGATAGATGGGATTCTGATTCAAATCCAGTGCTTTAACAAATTCAAAAGAGATCTAGAATAAAATATTATATATGTGCCTACTACCAATGAGCAGTACCGACAAGTGAGAATGAAGACAATCTCAAAGTACAGTGGTTCAATTCACACCAGACATTAACTTCTGCTCACAGGCACTCATCTAAATGTAGTAACCCGAGCCCTTAGATTTGCTCCAAATGTACTTGGAATTATAATAGCACTTAACTTTTATTTCTCTCAAGTACTCTACAAAGTAGTTCTGGGTCCCTGCCAGGGATCCCTTCCGAAACTATTAGAGGCTTCCGAGGCCTCGTCTTGGGTTGGATGGGGCGCAGGGCTGGAAGCGGAACGCGCACCTGGGTGCGGAGCTCCTGGTTGTTGCTCTCGGCGCTCTGGTAAAGACGCTCTGTGTGATGCAGCAGCTTCTCGATCTCCCGCACCTGCCGCTTGCAGCTCCGCAGCTCGCGTTCCAACTTCTCCACCTTTCGCCTCAAATGGGCCAGCTCAGGCTCGGGGGAGGTGGGTGGCGATGGTGACAATGAAGGAGACGGCGCCTCGGAGGCCATGGGGTCCGGCGCGTGGCGGCCCGTGGGCGCGAAGGGGCTGCGCTCAGACTGAGGTGGACGCCGGCGGCCCCAGAAGCCATGCGAGCGTACGGGCAGCGAAAGGCGGCCTTATACCTGCCCGGCCGAGGTGGCCCTTGGCCATGACGCCCTGAACCTCTTAACGTGCCCCTGAGAGGAACTGCGGGCAGCGAGCAAAGGGAAGGCGGATGGACCCAGCCCAATCCGCCCGGCTTTGAAACAGGAAAACTTTATTGGCAATACCTTCCCTAGCGACCGAAACAGTCGCAGGATCGTTAAAGAAGTGGGAGGTCCCGAAAAGCAAGAGCCAAAACAGCTCGAGCGGTTCCTGGGCTGAACCGGAAACGACGGTAACCGCGGTGGGCGGGACCCGGGACTGAAAGGGAAGCGACGGGGGGCGGGAAGGGCCTCACAGTGCACATGCGCAATTCCCGCCGGCTGCTGGGCGCGGCGCTGGGCGGTGTGTGAGGAGGTAGGAAAGTGGCTAACGAAGACCCGGAGTGGTGGAGAAGGTCGAACGCAGCGTTTGATCTCAGGCTTTTGCCCTTTGCTAAGCGTACTACCTGACATCCTTCACTATTTTTTGGCTCTGGTTTTTTTTTAAATTTTAGTTATTTGTACGTCAGATTGTAATCATACTCCTTAGTTCACAGCATATCATCAGCGTTGGTCCATGGAACTATTGGAGGAGAGTATATTGCGTGGCGGAAGGAGGGATACTTCAGCTTTTCTTTTGTTGATAACATTCCATTTTTTTCAGTAAGTAATGAACATTCCAGAAGCCCATCTGAAACAGAAACAGTAAAACCAGTACTGTTAAAGTAAATACAAACGGCCCCAGGGACTAAGGAGTTAAAGTAAATGAATGGACAGAGCAATGAACGCCACTACTGAGTTAGGGAGAACTGCAGAACCATGTAGGAATGTAGACCCAGTGTTGCAGAGCTTCTGATTTTTTTCAATAAAAGCCAAAAATTGGATTTTTATGTGAAATCTCTGTTAAAAACAATGATTCAAATTAGATCATTTCTGTGACATCATTATTATATCCTCCTTATTGTACATGTGTGCTTCAAATACTGCTCCAATGTGCTCTCATTTTTTATCACCACTGCCACTGCTGTCTGCCCCACTCCTCCCCTTTCTTTATTTTTCAACTTGTCTCTTTCTTTTCTTCTCTCTTTCCCTTTGTTTTTTATGATTTTGTTTTAAAAAGTTTAAATATATATTTATTATATATATTTATTTTACATATAATATTGAGCTCTAATAAAAAATAGAGCTCTTTTCCAGGCAATGAATCAACCAAATCCTACAGCTAATTTAAATCTTCACTTTTTATTATAACTAGTAGATACTGTGGAAATTACAAAATTGCCCCAATATTTTACCCATCCTGTGTCCACATCCTTTACCATGTGACTTTGTGGTTCCCCTCACTAAAGAGGCAGACTCTCCCCTCCACCTTTGAATCTGGGCTTAACCATGTGGTTTGCTTTGGCCAGTTGAGTGAGGTAATTGCCAAAACAGTAGACCAGTTCCTAGCCTAGGTCTCAAGAGGTGTTAGCGTTTATGCTTGCTTTCTTGGATTCCTGACATTTCCATGAGAAAAACATACCCACACATGTCTGCTGATCTCCAAAGGAGGATAAATGACACATGGAACAGCTCTATTGCAGGTAAGACACTCCAGCTAAGCCAGCCCAGAGCAGAGGCCTCAGGAAACCCTCATGTAGTTAGCAATAACTAACTGATAGTGGAGATGAGCCAGCCCTTCAACCTCACCGCAGGCTTGGGAGAACTAATGAATGATGTTTGGTGGAAGCCACTGAGTCGGGAGTATTTTGTATGTAAGAATAACTAACTGATAATCAACCTGATCTAGAGACATTCCAGAAGCCTGTGACTTTCAGGAGGCTGGAGTCCAAGTACCTGACATATCACTACATTGCATAACAGAGGAATATTGTCCATTAAGTAAAACCTGATTTATATCCAATTTCTTTTAGAGTGTCATCAATTCTATATTTAATGAACATTTACCTGTCATAATTTATGTTGAATACAATGGGTAGCTAACTCTCTCCTATCTGATCCTACTGTTTGATGTCACACAAGTATATCTGGGGAGCCATAGCATTTCAATAGTTCTGATTTATTGTTCCATATTTTAGTCAATTGACCATTACCTGTTTCCTCCCCCTAGAGGCCCAAAAGAATAGGTGGGTGTAACACTAAAACACCTGTGTGATGATAAAGGAAGAAAGCCAAATGAAACTGGGCAGACCTCTCTGCCCCCAACTGAATAATTACATTTTGCACCTTCATTTTATGATCGTATAATGAGTAAAAAAAAATTACTATGCTACTGTAAATTTCCCCATACTCCCTAGCTCCAGGGCAGTCTATCATGAAGGAACACAAGACTAGGGTTTAGGAAGAGAAGGAACTATCCTTAGAAAAGGCAAGGAGCTAATAGAAGGACTGGTCTTATCTAAGACCAGAAGGAACAAGAGAATGGAGGAAAGAGGAAGCAGGGGACGAGGGGCTGGCATGGGAGCCAGGAAATGTTGCTCAAGAAGAGACAGCACTTTTTACAGTGGAAGAGTTAGGGCAGGTAGATCAGAGAAAGGACCGCCAAGAGGGCTATTTATTCAGGGACTAAAAACTGCTTGAAAACAGCCGTCAGAAAGTAGTGTACCCTGCTTTCATTCAAGGGAATGTCTTCAACACCAAGAGGCTCTGATAACTGCCCCCCCATGGGGTCCATGAGCACTTCTTTCCTTCAGCACCCTTCTTTACTGGTTGCAGACCATCTCCTCTCCCCCATTTTGTTGCCCAATGCATATAATAGTCCCAAGACACCTGTGAACCCATAGGAGAGAGAGGATGGGATCCTCCAGTGGAGTGGGGGTGGGGAACATCTCACATTTGTACTTGGGGTGGGGAATCAGTCTTGAAGTTGGAGGAGCCTTCTCCCCAGTCTCCCCTTGCCTCCCTAAGATAGGGCAATAGTTATTGATAATTCTCTTGTAATAATTAAAAATATAAGAAAAAAAGCTTAAATTTACCAAAGGAAACATTAGAATGCCAGGAATACATATTTACCTTCTCATTGTTTCAGTAAGGGCCTGGACATGACCCTATCAGTTATTTAAATATATGTCCTTCTCATCTCACTTTGTTTATGAGAATTTAATGTGAGACCCTGATAAATGAATAGTTAATCACCAAAGTCATAATATTGTTGGAGATTGTTGGAACAATCTCTGGAAGAAAAAAGACAAAATGTTTGTAAGTCTAACGACTTCTTTATTATCATCATATGTTTATTAAACATAGGCATGGTTTTTTGTTTGAGATTAAATGTACCTATGTATAAAATAGTGACAAACAAATTAAGATTCATCGATATATGCCCAAAACCTAGAAGAAAAGACAAAGTTGGGTGCTTACATAGCTCATTAGGGTTACAGAGGACATCAAATAGTATAGGATTAACTCGATAAACTAGTGAAATGGTTTAAAGGCAACTGAGACATGTGGGGTAGTAAAATAACAACTTTTAATTGGAGACAGTTTAAATCTCAGCTCTTCTGCATACTTAATGTTCTTGATAGGTTCTTGGAAACTGCAACTTTTATCAAAATGACACTTAGCAAAACCAGTTTTACCCTAGGCTAATTGATATAAATAAGGGTTAAGTTCTTATGACATATTTCTGGTCACAAAAATATCACCAAACTCCTAAATAAGGACCCAAAATGTTTTTAACATTAAACATTGAAATAAATGTGAGCTAGACATACATTTAAGAAAGATTAATAAAAACAAGTAAGATAGTGATTTTCCACGCTGCTTATCCCAGTTCAGGGTCACGAGTTTCCAGAGCCTGTCCTGGCAGCTCAGGGCACCAGGTGGGACCCACCCCATACAGGATACCTCCTTTTTACAGATAAAGATTGAAGCCTAGAGATTAAGTAACTTGCTTAAGATAACACAGCCAGTGAGAATCAGGGCCTGGGTTAAATTCAGGCAGCCTGCTTCCAGAGGCAGCGCTCTGAACCACAGGACATCCATCCTGCACGTGTTAGCATTATCACCGTCATTCTTATCATGAACCATAAATGGAAGGTAATTCATGAAGCATTAATGTATATATATCTGTCAGTTGATTATTAAACTAGTTTTTCTACACAACAGATATTTTCATAAAATGTGTATGTCGCATTTGCAAACCAAATTCTGTTTTAAATGCAACAGTGAAATTGTTAATGAAAAAAAGTATACATGGAATCATTCTAAAAAGGTTAAAAGATTAATAGGATGAAACATCTGTAAAAAAATTTAAGGGCTCATTAATAATTCCCTATCTTATTATTGGATTGAAATAAAAATTGTTCCATTAATACCCTGACTTGCCTCTCAAGTCAATAGAATGACCAAATGTGAAAGCACTCTGTAAACTAACACCTGTAAGTTATATATCTTTTATAAACTAACATATTCAGAATAGTATCCAGTTGTGTGATATAAATAGACATATTATATGCATGCACATCCTTGAGAAATTTCTCAAGAATTATATTCTGTCCATGTCAATTGCCACTTGGGAAGTGGGATTGCTGATTTGCTAGACTAACTTCTCTCAAATCCTTTTTCCTGAAACCTACTAACAGCAGGAAGAAATGCACAACACAAAACATATTTGACCAGAAGGTGGCAATAAAGCATTGATATTTCCCAAAGGTTCCTGGCTCAAGAACTAACTTCTGGTAGGTGTTGTATATCCAAGAAAACAAAATATTGTCTAAAGGTTCTAATCATCCAGATCCTGTGGGCAACTCCTCACTCATACCTTGACCCTGCCCTGGAGGAGCGTAGGCTCAGACAAGAGGTGATGGGGACATAATGTGGTAAGTGCTGCCATCAGAAAAGTATGGCTCTGGGAGCAGTAATTTATCTGAAAAGTGTGTCCCCATCTTAGAATCCTCATTTAAATGAACTTCATTGGATAAATGAAATGATTACTGGCATATTGTGGTATGTTACTTTAACTCTTTGATGAAGTTTTTCCTTACATCAATTTTACTGCATCTAAGAATGGGATTTCTTCCCTTTGCTCTTCATCTAAGAAATGGCGGAAATCCTGGAAGAAATTGGTATACCCTTCCTTTTGGTCCCCTCACAGCTCCACCCCAGGCAATCAAGGAAAAAAAATCCTGTCAAGTCTCCCTCAATTGCGGGAAGCATACTTTAGTTGGTGTCTAGAATAGACTTTGTCGGGGGTTTGTTAAAGAAAAAATTTTTTTACCACTTGTTAACATGGTAAGTAAGACT